ATAAAGGACTTAAATGATTAAAAACGATTGTAAAATGGCATTCCTCTTATTTGAATGTGCAACTAAATCAGCAATTCTCTATGAAGAGGAAAAGATTGTTAATATGAAAAGCTGACTTCAAAATAAACCTTACTTTTATTCTTCGTTTTCTCCGTTCAAAGTACAGAGCTCCAAATACCAACCTTTGCATTCATGTAGTTCAACTTCACTTGAGCAAGTTTCCGTCAAAGTTCAATGGCCACCCATAACAAAGTTTACCTTCTAATTGGACTGGGGGCGGGCGGGCAATTCGACACTTGCTCACCCACTCTCTTTGGGTTAGTTTGTCGGGTATTCATTCAGTCATTCATTCAGTCATTCATTCAGTTCAGTTCAGTTCGCCAGGCGCATTTGCCAACAATGCGCGTAATTTACCATGGAAAACTACTAAGTAAGCTTGTTAATTAAATACGCATTACCGCGCCTGTAATTGCCTGTGACGCGCTGCTTAGCAACAACAGCAACAATTACAAGAGAAACGGCAGCTGCGGCAATAACAACAACATTCTCGGGGGCAAACTAATTGTTAAAGTCAAGTGCAAAGTTTTGACGAGAGTGAGTCACGGAGACAATCGCCCCACCTGCATTCCGATACATCATGCTCAAGAAAATAGGCAAACATAAAATTTAATTAACGGTCGACGCTCCGACCACAGACAGACAAACAAACATACTATACTCCATTTCCACACGCATGGCATATGAGTGTGAAAAACAAGATGAAGATTCGTTACGCCAACGAATAACACTGCTCTGCGTTATTAATTCTACTCTGCTACTCGTTTCGATTTAATTGAACGTCATTTGGTGTTGCTGTTTACTTAAATATTTTTCAATACTTTAGCTAATCATGTTACGTTGCTGATACTACTAAAAAAATTAACATTTAATTCAATTCCAATATTATAACAAATAAATAAATACAAGTGATTCTTAAATGCCTTGTTTCTTTATATGTATAGTAGTATAGTATGTAGACTCACGCATTATATATTCTTCATGTGGAAACATGCACAACAAAAAATAACTGGTATTCTATATTCGTAAAATCTTTCATTTAAGATTACAGGAAAGCATTTCACAGAGATAGAACCCATTTAGTAGTGCTACTTTATTTTCTTTTATGCTGTTTCCAAATTCATATTAATATTTAATTTCATAATCGAATTCAAGTCCGCAGCCAGCAGCATTTGCTCCCGGATGTTCTCAAAGTTTTTAAAATGTTTACTTCTACGACTCAATAGACTTAACATCATTTCTGAAAAATGATTTATAAATACCCCAATCAAAATGAAAAATTGCAGAATAGTACATAAGTACGCTAACTTCGGAACTTATAGGTATACCCCTGCAGCAGGACTTTTCATTTTGAAATAAGTTAAAAACATACTTAAGTCGTTCATTAATATCTGTAACATGCATCGTTCATGTGGGTGCTTAAGAATAGCTTTTGTGTGTTTTCCGGTATAAAATGTCTAAAAGTATGTGAAAAATGTCAGCCTGTACTTCTAAAGCTAAAATACCAGTTTCCATGGAAATAAACGTGGCATTATCGATTCGATTCATAATGTCAACAAGTTCCTTGAGGAATGCCAGAAAACAGAAAATAGCAAAGATTGCAATCAAATTTAGCAAATAAAACAATAATTTTTGATTAAATACTACTACTAATGAGATCAAATAAAATGTGGCCTAAAGATAATATGTATCTTTATATATTATTAGGTATACATTATAAATAATTATTTCATGTACATTCATTTATTTAATGAAATGAAAACAGATTGATATGCAGATTAGTCACCAGCATGGACCCTTCAAAACGATTTTTCGATTTTTCCGAGCAAATTTTCCAACTGCCGTTAGTTCAAAGTCAATTATTTGCTATTTCGGAAATTACTTAATACAAAATAACCCGTAATTACTGAACATAGAGTAGGAGTCTGATTGCCACAATTAATACAAAACAAATAAGTGGAGGCTCAAGCGTCTGAAGGAAATATTTTGAACGGAACAGGTCACGAACGGCTATATATTAATTATACAAATTAAAAGCTGCGGGCATTCACAAATAATGTACAAGTAGTATTCATTTCCCAATGCAGAAAATAATTTATTTAAAAAGTTAGTTCATATATAAATGTGCTGTTATCTCTATGAGCTGAAATTCTAAGTGCTTTGAAAGTATGTGAATTTATAGTCGATAGTATTAAGTAATTGAGTGTTGCGCAGTGTATTTCAAAAATCAAATACCTAATGACAAATGACACTGCAGATACAGAGTCCCCAACTCGGTACACTGATATGGCAAATGACAATTAATTAGCGCATATTTCAGTGCAAGTCGAATGGTGCGGACGAGCAGGGCAGGGCAACGGGGTCGGCTGTCATGACGGAAAACTATTTCCTTGCACAAATCATCAATCACAGTGGCGGCTGAAATAACTTTGTGTGCCGCTCTTTTCATCAGCAACAACAACAGAACACAGAACTAAGCTGGGCAAAAAGGTTAATGGGTTAAAAAATCAACTTGGTCGTCGTTGGTTTGCGGTGATGGTGACGGCAAAGGCTTCAGTGGCGTCGGCATTTTTGTCCTCGTCAGCGCCATTGTCGCTGCCATTTGACGTCGTTTATTGTTTGTTTGTTAATGCAACAAAAACAATAAAAACAAGCGCATAAAGCCAACTACAAAAACGCAGTCTAAATTATGCGCACACCACAGGTAAATGATGGTAATTTGTGGCTCGAAATGTTTCTGCAGCACGTCGAAGCCCAGGAATATATTGTTGTTGTTGTTATTGTTGTACGCTTGGCGGTTTAATAGTCAGGGCTCCTTGCGCTCCTTTGGCATGCACAAGCAACTACCAGCACGTCAGCCGCCCATTTGCGCTTGACGCTTTTTGTGAGTGCTTTATGACGTTGAATTTTATGCTAAAAATGTTGTGGCAGGCAAATCACATTGCGGTTGAATTGAAGGTGTGCACAAAACGAGTTAAGGGCGAGCCCAGACTGAAGGCCCCTAGCTTTAAGCCAACTCGAATACTGTAAACTGAACAACCAAACCTAATTTGTGTAATTATGTAAGCTGTTGCCTACTCAGCAACTAAGTTTGTCTTCCGAATTAAATTCTTTGATGGCAAAGTGGTACACAGATGATTAATTTAATATCTGAAAATTAAACTTTTAATTCTTCCGATAAAAGAAATAAGACTCTAAGAGTCCATTCCGAAACGGGGATATCTATAAAGATATTTATTCGATGTACGCAAACGACAACTGAAAACAATTTACCAAAAAATCTCTAGCTACCTCCACAATTTCTTCTTCATAATTTTTTATATTTTGTTATTTAAAATGTAAATTCATTTGCACATAACTTAGCTATAAGTATAAAAAGAGTGTAGCTGAATGAGGAAAAAGTACATAATAGAGCGGACTTCGTTCTCCCTATTACATTCATTTTACTAAACTATTCGTTATTTATAGCTGAATATACTTGAATAAAGCAACTAATAGAATAAAGTATTTTATTACCAGCTTTAATCACCTTGCCTTCATGCTGGTCTAATTTAGCTTCTCAGATGGCCAACACCTACATCATAATTCACATGGCTTCACCCCCCGCAGGTAGACCACTTTAAGAGCATCGTTGCTTAGTGTTTAAATAGTCTAGTGTTGGCTTTAAGCCGCGTTGCTCTTTTATTTACCCTTTGCCTCCGTTGTAGCTCAAACAAACTCACACCCATTCTACCCAACGCACACATGCAAAGCGCAGTCACTTCGACCTGCATGTTATTCATGGCTAAGCACACAATCACACATACATATATATACTATATATGCTCACACATGGATATGCAGGTCCATGCACACACTTCAGGAGACAAGCCAAGCTAACAATTTTCTAAACTTGCGCGCTGCGCACGTAATAAAAAAGCCAGGACAACAGCAAGGGGTGGCACAGGGTGGGGGTCCTCCATTGAGGCACTGGCGCGCGCTAAGCTCTGCTAAACATTCCCTAAATATATTTTGCAACAGCTACATATGAGATAAGCGGGCCACATGCCACGACGGCCACGTCGACGACGATGCCGGCGAGAAATAAAAGTTTTGTACGCCTGAATATTTTCGCAAACTATTCACAGTTGATTTTTCACCTGATGCTTTCCATAGCTTTGTATGTGTGTGCGGCTATGTGTGTGAGAAAAGGGGCTGAAAATATTTATCTATCTGCCTAGGTTTCAACAGCTAGATGTATCTACACTGCCTATTGACAGTAAAGTTCAGACTGTGAAACAAATTTCATCTGAAACTTGTTGGTGCTGGTGATGATGCCACCTCAATATATGTCAAATCTACCATTTAAAAGCGCTTGGCAAGTGCTGCTTTTAATAATAAGACACGAATGACATTTCATAAGATACCATTACAACTAATTAGGATTTAGTATTAAACCTTTTACAGAAATTCTTTTACTTAAAATCATAGACGAAATATAGTTCTTATGTGAACTCCCAAGGCTTACTAGGCTAGGCTAGGCTGTGAAAGCTATACTAGTTGATGTTCCTAATGAATCTTTCTTTAAAAAATATTAATCAACTTAAGACACAGTTTAACTTATAACAGCCCTAGTAAACTAACTAATTAATTGTTAATCTGCGGGAATTGTTTGTGTGGACAAATCCTTTTGTGACAAGTTGAACTCAACTACATAAATTCTGAAGCTTCAAGTGCCAAATTTTTGGGCATCTACTACATTGTCTGAACAGCGCCCAAATGTTTGTGGCTTGGCCGATTCGGTCTTATAGCACTCAAGTTAAATGCAGCTCGTTGCACTGCCTGTGAAGAGGCGCACATGTGTGTATAGGAGAGTGTTTGTGTGTGTGCCTGTGTGTGTTTGTTTTTATCTATATGCATTTTATTACATAACAAACTTTCAACTCATCTCTGTGCTTTTGCAGCTATGGTCTCCTGGGTGCCTCTGGCTGTGGCAAGACCACGCTGCTCTCTTGCATCGTCGGTCGTCGGCGTCTCAATTCGGGCGAAATTTGGGTGCTGGGTGGTCGACCGGGCTCGCGCGGATCCGGTGTGCCTGGTCCGCGAATTGGCTATATGCCACAGGTGAGTTAACGTTGAATATTTTATGCGCTTTTTATTGCTACGGTACTTGAAAAGCAGGAGCTCAACGAGAGTTCTTGACTTTAACTAAATTAAATAAACGCAATAAAATGCTGTCTCACATACACGAACAAAAAATCCAAAGCAAAGCGTAAAAGAAAACAGAGCGGTCAAAAGTTTTAAATGCTGTTGCATAAAACTTTTAATTTTCACAAAGCGCAAATAATAAATTTTCGCCCGCTCCTTTCTGTTTATTTGGTTGCTCGGAATCCCGTAACCAGTGTGGATTGTAAAGAATGTGCGCGCAGAAGTATGCAACAAATTTTTCCATAAATGCAAACTATGCGCATGCACTTGCCTGTGTGTGTGTGAGTTTGTATGTGGATTTGTTTATATTTCCCTATTCTGTGCTTCACTCCCTTATGCTCTCTTTCTCTGTGTATCCCGACAGGAAGTGGCGCTGTATGGCGAGTTTACAATGCGCGAGACTTTAATCTACTTCGGCCTGATTGCCCACATGTCCCGCAGCGACATTGAGGATCGGACCGAATTCCTGTTGAAATTGCTCAATATGCCAAATGGTTCGAAATTCGTCAAGAACCTCAGTGGTGGCCAGCAGCGACGCATGAGCTTGGCTGTCGCACTGCTCCATGAGCCGGAGCTTCTGATACTTGATGAGCCAACTGTGGGCGTGGATCCGGTACTGCGACAAAGGTGCGTGTATCCACAGCATTAGGACATATTTGTCAGCGACGCAACACCACTAAAACGGTCCATTAACTCTTTGCCTTTTTCCATTTACATTCACAGCATTTGGGATCATTTGGTCAAAATTACGAATGACAGTCACACAACTGTGATAATCACCACGCATTACATAGAGGAATGTGCACAGGCCCATGTGGTAAGTTCTACATATGGAAACTGAAAATTAGTCAACAATGTTGTGCACAAAGCATCAGTGCCGACATTTGCAATTCACTTCTTTTCATTAATTGCTAAATATTTTTCGCTTAAAAACTTTGCACAAAATTCATCAACCTTTATAAATAAGTCTCGAATATAATGTTGGTTCCATTACAACTAATTGGTAGCTTAAATTCAAAAACTAGCAAAAGCTTACTTGAAAAATACTTGTAGCATAGATTTGAGTGCAAATTAAGTTTACTCAAACACCTGTATTATCTCTCTTAAAACCTCCATTTACGGGCCACTTCATTGCTAACTACGTATAAACGTAGCTGTTTGTGCTATATAGTAGTGGTTTGGAACTTGTCTTAAATTGCGAAAATGCAGCGCTATTGTATTTCGTAAAGAGAATTGAATATAATCATCTTAAAATTCTGGTATATTCTTTAACAACCGAATAAGTCTGTCGTAGGCAGACTTTGATTCTGATTCTGTTGAGATGGCAGTCAACCGTGTATCCCATTGTCTATCATTGTTTGCCTGTAATTTATTGTCACAGTTTGCACGTCTATTTGCAATATGTGGCGTATGAGTAATAATATAGGTAGACACATGTGCGTGCACATACACACAGACGCTTAGGTGAAAGTTCAGCTAACATACAGCACCATGGGACCATAAGTCCCTACTCCATGCGCCGGCGCGCTTATCGGCTCAAGTGTGCGCTGTCAACACGCGGCGGTAAGTGCTTCCTCCGAGCCAAGCTGCAAAGACAGCCCAAGCAGCTAGGGCCACCAGACTGACACAATGCGCTACGGCAAATTTGTATCCTGCGCGCGCTTGCAGCAAATCTGTGTCCAGCGTCATTCAGTCGGCGAAGAGGATGAAAAAGAAATAGCATATTACTGCCGGGGTGTCTGTCTCTATATACATATATTCCATCCGTCCGTCTGTTGACCTATGGCTCTGGCACGATTTACGAGGCATTTCCGAGCGAGACACATTGCAAAATTTACTTCAGTTTCAGATTTATTTATGTATGTTGGCAACGGGAACGCACAAATCTCGGGGACAATAATCAACACGCGCTCTATGAGCATCTGTAAGTGTGTGCGAGTGTGCACATGTGAGTGTGTGTGTTTGTGTGTGGGCTGGCCATTTAATGCCCTTGCTTGAATGACCAATGCGTGGTGCAAACAATGAACTGCGCCCAAAAGGAGGGGGACCAGAAAAAATATGAAAAAGAAATCCACAAAAATAAAGCGTGACAAAGCACAGACAAACAAACATGCGTCGCTATGGACAGTTACAGATAGATGGACTGATAGAACGACGACAGATACTCAAGCGACACGCACGGGATGTACACAAGCATACAAACACACGACCATACAGACATATACTCGTTGTAGCTATGTACATATCTCTAAAAACATAAAACAAACAACTCCGCACGAAACACATATGGACTTACACGCTAAGGGAACAAAGGACAGCCACACACAAACTGCTCTAAGGCTTGAGTCCATATATCACTGCAGTGCCGACGTTTGAAAATAAGCCAAAGCAGGAAATAATATTTAAAAAACAAAAAATAAGAGGAATCAGATCAGCTTGTTGTATACAAATATAATTAACTGAATAGCTTCGCTGCAGCCCAACAGAATTTTTCGATCAAAAGAAGGGAATGCAATGAATACAAAGATTTTCAATTTCCTCGTAACTTTCCTTCATATTTTATCAGATCGTTCAATAATTTTTTAAAATATTCTGTCTACATTTTATTTGTTCGACGTTACAATTTTTGCAAATTATAATTATTGTGTTAATTAGTTAGTGTTTTTAAACTCATTAATTAAAACAATTAAAGCCTGTAAATGAAAAAATAAATAACGAAAATATATATTTTCCGAGCAATAGTACTTATGCTATATGTGTCCGTTTTTCTAAGCTAAACAAATTTAAAACAGTTTTATAAAGAAAGAAACATTATATAAAGAAACCTTAAATTTATCCTGTAATTGACTTTTGCTTTTTGAAGAATGAAATAAAAATTAAACAACATTTAGGCGTGGTATCAATGTTATTGATGTTAATAGAACTATATACACTTCATATAGAGCTCAAACGCCTGAAAGAAATGCTCTAAAATTATGAAACATAAAAATTATTGATCGATGGACACACACTCTCAGAACAAAGCCGTATTTGATGTTATGTCGGGAAATTACTTAAACACGAGTATCCGGTTTAAAATTGGTGCAAGTACAAGACTTGCAGATATACTTGACCATGCCATATTATTTATAAATGCCTTCACTCCGTCCAAAGCTACCAATCCTACTTCTAATACATACAAGTAGAGTAGCTTTCCAATTTTAACAATTTTAATTAACGGCCAACAAGCTTTTTGCACTGCAGTTTATTTCGACAGCGTTGCTCTACGAAATACTAAATATTACAACGGCCTTAAATTTATGGTACATACATATGTATTCAATTTTATATTATATGTATATATTATATTATATTTTAAGTGTAAGAAAGCTCGAAATAATAGCCTGTGCTGGAGCATTTGGGCGCTGGAAAATTGTTCACTTTTACTCAAAAGGGCAAAAAAAAAAACCAAAAAATTTGTGGATAACGTGAAAAGTAATTTGAAACACACACATGATAGCTATTATTTTTTTGGCTTCTACAAAATCAATTACGTTACGTACAGGACTTAAATAAGACATTCCAATATTATTGTGATTTTATGGATCACTGTGAAAGTTGCTGTAAAAGATCTAAGCAGCTCGTCAACTTTTAATTTCACAAAGCTTTGGAGTTTAACGTCAGCTTAACACTGCTCTTAAAGCTAACTCCAATGTCCTTTCGATTTGAGCTCAATTCGACAATCTGCACCCCACAGATGCTTCGAAAAGGGTCATTCCAAACGCATATACGTACGACCACATGCTGCGACAGTTTAATGGACACACAGCGGGAACCATTCCACATCTTCCCCCATTGACATGCCCAGCCACGTTCTGGGCCATCGCACCCTTGTCAAATGGCTGCCGCGCACTCATTGCGGTAAAGAGTTATGGCCAATAAACAAAATCACTGTCAGCAATAGAAAATACGTTGTTGGTTGTTGGTGTTATTATTGTAGACTGATCTCCTCCCACCGCAAAGCCGGTCGCTTCCTGTCATATAAAATAAAAAACAATTCAGTACCTAAAACAATGAACAAAGTTAGGAGCAGTCCGCAAAGTCAGTTAATAATCCAAGCAGCCGCTGAATTGCAAACACAATCGGAATTGTTATCCGCCCAAAATTTATGGCTTTATGAATGCAGAACCTTCCCCGGATATGCAGATCATAAAAAGTGGTCCGGCTTCTACGAGTATGTGTGTGGAAATGTGAGCATTCAAAACCAAATCCCAAAACAGCAAAGTGCTGTATTGCCAGTTTTGTCTGACGCTTGTTTTGATTGTCCATTGACTTTGGTGGTGGTGTTTAATTGCTATCATTGAACACGTGTTAGATGTTGAAATATAAATACACATACATGCATACACAGACAACATAAACAACAACAACAACAACAACAGCGACAACAACAAGATAGGCAAAAACAGCTTTTGAGAGAGCGTTTGAGCTGATGCCTCAGCATCGGCAGCAAATTCCCTTCCCAGCTTTGCTACTTTTGTGAGGCACGTTTTTCTTTTCTTTTCTCATCTCCTGCTACTAACGCATTGACTAGCCAGTAGTATGTCCATACATACATTTTATACCTACATACTTGTAACTACGTGCATAAGAATACGGGCCGGAGTGCGTTGACTGAACTTTTAAAAATGTCGCGATTTATCAAATAGTACTTCTTCCCATTTCAATTTTATTGATCGCCAGCAAGTTGTATAAGATGTCGCAAGAATTTTGTCTCCATATCATAATTGGGCTACTTATAAAGAAATATATCTGTTACAAAGATCGATAGACTATACAATTGACACCTAAGATGTAGGAGAGCACCCCATTTAGAAAACCAAAACCATTCATCTGGTCTTCATCAAATCACTTTAAATATCCTTATCTGATGTAGCAATGGCTCTTATAATCGTTCTATTTGACATTTTTATACCCTGTACCCAAAGGGTACAAGGGTATATTAGTTTAGTGCGAGTGCACATGGAACACACAGAAGGAGGCTTGGTAGACCCCACAAAGTATATATATTCTTGATCAGCACGACAAGCCGAGTCGATATAGCCATGTCCGTCTGTCCGTCTGTCTGTCCGTCTGTCTGTCCGTCTGTCCGTCTGTCTGTCTGTATGAACGCAAGGATCTCCGAAAGTATAATAGCTAGAATAACCAAACTTGGTACACAGATTCACCTGAGACCGAGAAAGGACGAGTTTGTTCATTTTTTCTGATCCACCCCCCCACTCCCCCCCTATTACCGATTTTCTATAACTCCCGTAATTCTTGGAATTTTGAACTAAAATTTGGTAGTTACATTAGATTAGTAATTATATAACCGTATACCAAGTCTCATTATGATAGAATGATCGGAAAGAAAGTTATAGCCATATAACCAGGCTCAATGCACACATACATACATATGTACAAGTACACAAACACGCATAGACACGATTCTGATGTAATTGTAAATGTATGTATGCATGCATGGAATATTTTATATTTAATTAGTTAATATTTAGTTAATTAATTAAATTAATTTAGTTAATTAATTTAATTAAATTAATTAATTAATTTAATTACTTTTTTGTGGGGTGGTACAGGGTATTTAAGAGTTGAGCCTGCTCGACTTTAGCATTCCTTTCTTGTTTAAAAATAGCCATTAAAATAATTTCAAATAACTTAAGCCCAGTGATCAGTCTGCGCTAAAACGCTCCTCCTTTTTCTAACACTTGGCAACAAGGCAAATATTTTTGAGGAAGAAGAATCATAATTCATAAATTAGCCTAATAAATAAATTTGATT